TAGACTCAACACAATATGTAGTATCTTTACCATTTGAGTGAACCAATATGACACAACGGATGAAGAATTTTGACAACCCTACCGAGACAACATGAGTCGTAGTGTTCATTTTGAAATTCATCGAGTGTAGACAAGGAGGTAGCATAATCGACACTGTACTCGATTGTATTCATTCCCCAACTGTAACGTGAGATACTCTATTTACAGTTAGGTGGATTGGGAGTTCTCTGGGATCGAACCAAAGATAATTAGGACAGAAGTCGAGTGGTGTAAACAGTCTGCCATGGATTGTTTATTTAAATCGTCTGAAACAGTTTTCTCACTTGTCTGAATTAACAATACAGCAATTCCGAATTCACGGAGGAAGATAAAAAAAATACAGTTTTAACTCCGGGTTCTGACAGTGAGAGACAACTTTAATTTACAACTGCTGTTTTTTGGAAGCTTATTTTCAATGGACTGTTAAATAATACCTAACCTAACCTAACCTAAGCCAGCTTAACTTAATGTAACCAAAATTAAATTAACTTAGCTGTTTTTATAAATTTATTATCATTAGAATTTGAACTAATGCCTGACCTAACCTGACCTAACCTGACCTAACCTGACCTAACCTCATTATACTGCCCGCCTGAGCTACAACAAACCATAGTAATATCCACACTAAACTGGACCTATAATTGCTGTTCATTTCCAATACTTTGTTAGCCACCCACAGTTCACCTAAATCATTTTCTGATACGCTCACTGGGTCCAACGATTACCTAAATTACGACAGCAACAACCGTGGCCCACCAATCACTGTAATTAAAGGTAATTTATATTCACCTATTAGCTATACAGGTAAGTTCAACCTTCCATTTCAACCTAAATTAATCTTATTGGATGGATTATATCATTAAATTTATTGTTGTTGTCATTCTCAAAATTTACCGAAAATATTAATATATATTTTTTTTTATGTTTAAGGCTTTATCTCTCTCTCTCTCTCTCTCTCTCTCTCTCTCTCTCTCTCCTTTCGAGTAGCTGTTAGAATGATTTTGACACTGTTAGAATGGCAAATATACCGACAGAATGACATGAAACACGATTAGAATGACAAAGATACTATTAACCCGACAGCAAAAAGCAACAGAATGACGAGATAACAAGCTTAGAACGATACCAAAAAGAAGAATGAATAAAGAACACGAGGAAACCCCCCCACACATCATTTCAGACGAAGGAAAGAATGACAAAAGAATGTACCATCGTAAGAATGAAGGAAAAGAAAGTAGACATAGCGTCGTATAACGTCTGTGTGTGTGTGTGTGTGTGTGTGTGTGGTCGTGTTGATATAAGCAGATGATTCATTCGCTTCGTCGGAACCTAAAGGCATATTGCAAATGGCCAATGAATGAAATCGACGCAGCGTGTGAAGGTAAGAGAATTGATTGCGAATGAAGGAATTGAGAGAAATACCCGTGAGAAAGAAGGAGTAAGAGGGAGAGAAAGTGAGAGAATGGAGACACTGAACGAAAGAAGGAAGTAAGAGAGAAAGGAACTGTAGTTTATTGATGGATTTAGAAATTGGACGAAGGAGATAGAAAAATAATCCGTGATAAAGATGGAGGATGAAGTTATAGAGAGAAGAGAATAGAAAGTGAAGGAAAGGAGAGGTGAGAGATGAATGTTGTAGCTCCTCTCATTTCCTCTCTTCTCTCTTCTTTTCTCTAGTTTTCATTTCACTCTCACCTTTCACTTTATTTTCTCACTATTCAACTCAAGAGATTTAATTACCTCCATTCCTCCCTCCTCCCACACTCTCTCTCCCTCCCCTCCCTCCCCACACTCTCATACCCTCCTACTTACCATGGGAGTTGTTAAGGGAGAAGGGAGCACCATCCTCCCTTCTCCAGGTCAGAGTAGGTTGTGGGTCACCTGCTGCGTCACACTCCAGCAGTACGTCGTCACCCTCCGCCACCGTCACGTCCTCTGGCGGGTGGATGATGACCGGTGGCACTGTAATGTGAGAGGTTGAGGTCACCAAGAGACATAGGTCATAGGAAGAGGTCAAAGGTCACCAAGAGACATAGGTCATAGGAAGAGGTCAGAGTCACAAAACATAGGTCATAGGAAGAGGTCAAAGGTCACCAAGGAACAAAGGTCATAGGTAGAGGTCAGAGGTCACCATCAGAGACATAGGTCAAGAAAAAATTGGCTGAAAAATAAATACGAAATAAAAGTCATAAACATAAAACAAAAGTAAAGAAAATAAACAAGAAAGGTCAACAAAAGTCAATATAAAAAGGACAGGTAAGAACAGGTAACTAATTAATACTTATGTAATACATTTAAGTGAATAAGGGAAGGAGAGAGGGAGGTAAGGAAGCAAGGAGAGAGAGAGAGAGAGAGAGAGAGAGAGAGAGAGAGAGAGAGAGAGAGAGAGAGAGAGAGAGAGGTCAAAGGTCACGATAGATCAAAAGATAAAAAATACAAATATTAACGAACAGAAATTGAT